TATGTGAGGAGCAGCGTATGATATCATCTGGAAGAAGAAAGTACAAGAGAAAAAGATGAGCCGACGACTCAGTAAGCACGTAGAATAATGCACTTACATGCAACCTACGAATAAATAGACAGCGTAAGATTAAGCCAAACTGATAAACGAAACTAGGAGTTGATAGAGTTAGGTTTCTTCGAATGCGTTACAACCTGTTACTTAATTTGATCCTTAGTGTAGTTTGAGATGGTTAAGAAACTTTGTAGTTCAGGTAAATGAGTATGCTGGAGTTTTGTTCGCTAGACTGGATATAGTTTGGTTGTGCTTACTTCAGTGTTTCGAACGAGAACACGTGTTTTCAATGTGATATAGTCTTCGGTACAACTGAAAACATCCAGCTCACAGAACCAAACTCCACCGTTAAAAAGCTAAGTCAGTCAGTCAGCTACAACGTAGTACTTCACACATAGTGTACACTATTTCAAATTGCCATACAACCACATTAGCACAGAGATGCAATTGTCAATTCAAACCCCATATTAGTAGAAATAGTAAAAATATTGACAGTAATCGGAGAGATTAGGGTTAGAAGATATTATTCAAGAAGTATAGTGTAGTGAAAGAAACTTAAAAAGAGGGAAGAAAGGTAATGAGGAATTCAGACGGTGAGCATCTGAGAGAAAAGACAAAGAATGAAAACACCTGATGCATTGCAAACGGTCTCGAGCCATATCATTCGATGTCTCCAACCATCGATTATTATCATCTCGCGGACCCCACCTAGATGTTCTTTACTTACCAACATCGTTCTTAGCGACTTCATGGATTTATGCCATGTTTTCTTCTGGCTGCCCTTAGTTTTCTTCCAACCTACTCCTACACCACAAAACATCACTCGTCGAGGCAGTCGGTGGTTCGGCATACGTAACACATTCCCCAATCACCTCACTCTCATATTTGCATCAAACTAGGTAGAGACCTAAAGGTCTCTATTATTAACAAACATTCACAGTGAAAGAGTCTTCAATAATTTTATCATCCAGGAATTACAGTTCACTGTCTATATTTATTGTGTTATTTTTTACGCAGCTTCAAATTTTTAGGTATGCTACAATATTGATGACAGTTTGACATTTGACTTCGACTTCATTTCAATGTTTATGAAACGATCTGATGAGGAGGTTACTGAAAACATTATTGAGCTTTTTCATATTTAAAGTAATGCTATGAATTACATTTGTTAAACAATTTATCTAAATATTACACAACTACTGAATTGCATCAGTCATCAGTAATGTCGTCGGTTGATTAGAAGTGATCGAACAGGAAAGTCATTCGTTAAGCAAGTGCCATGATCTAAAAGACGATAGCATATCAAGAAATGGAACTTATTGCTACTTACTTATTTACTTACTTACTTACTTATGCACTTACTTACTTACTTACTTACTTATGCACTTACTTACTTACTTACTTACTTACTTACTTACTTACTTACCTACTCACTTACTTACTTACTTACATCTGTCACCCCAAATGGAGCCTAGGCCACCGACCACCATCCTTCTACCTCCTTTGTCCTGGGCCATCCTTTATATTTCTATCCAATCGCTGTTCATTCTTATCTTGTCTGCTTCCGGTTCTCAGAGTAAAGTATTCTTTAGTCTTCCTCTATTTCATTTACACTTAAGATTCCGACTGAGTACTTGTCTTGCGACGCACTTTGGTGCTTTCCTCAACGTGCTTCCTATTCAACTCCAGTGATTTTTACTAATATCTCCCTCATATGGAAACTTGTTTGTTCTCTCCCACATTATGTTGTTGCTGATGATGTCTAGCCAGCGGATCCAAAGTATCTTGCGTGGATAACAGCTAAAGAGACGCTTGTATCTTGTGAATGATTACTTTGGTGGTCCACCAACATTCCACTCCATACAGTAGAACTTTCTGGACATTTGTATTGAAAATTGTGAGCTTGGAGTTGCATTCTTACAAAAGTAATCTGTTATGCTCGTCTCTAGGTATGCTTAAAACCTTTTCGAGTTCACCTTAGTCGAATAACGAGAACAAAACAATGAACCAGCGTCCAGGTAGGCTACTGTGATCCCTTGACCAAATTGTATCAGCAAGAAGTCTTGATATGGCATAGAAATTGTATTCTACAAACACCCAGACAGCACACACAATGAATCCAAGCACTCAAATTGCGTTTATTTATACTCCATAGAGACGTCCTTGGGATAATCACAAAAATAGCACACTAAAATGACACAGTAACCAATCACGGCCAAGGATTTTCCTGGTGAGAAATGTAATCTCAAGGTCAACTGACCGGTCCATGAAATAAATCCAAAATAAAGATATTTATCAAGCCAGTTCTGAGGATCTAACATCCCCAACATAATCACAAGTATTGACATTCGAATCTGGCCATCCATCCATCCTATAATATAACGTTGACCATATTACACAAATATTTTCGAACAAAAAAGAATTTGTTTCAACTATCAATATTTATCTTCAATCTGATTTGAATAAATTAAAGATGTTTTTTCTCAAAAAAAAGAGTTATTATATAACTTGTTTGTAAAACCTAAATGGAGAGGATTAATTCAGCTGAAAACGAAACAATTCCTGGCATCAAACTTGAAGACAATAGTTTCCAAAAATAAAACTATTCAAGGCATTTATTCATCCGTGGTAGATAGATAGAAAGAAAAAAGTTACATTCTCGAATGAGGAATTGACCTTCACCTGAAAATGTAATTTTTGTTTTTTGTACAATTTTATTGAACATTGACAATTGAATGGAAATAAATAAGTATGATTTAAACAATACAAAACTGTAATGAGTACAGCTGATGACTTTCACATGGTACACATTGAATAGTGAGACTTCAATCTGTGTCTAAAATATAAGATATATAATATAGATGTATAATATTTTAAATGCTAACTAGATAGATAGGTAGGATCAAAACTGAGGTTTGAACCGAGGAAGAATAACTGTCTAGGTAGTTTAGATATGCGCTATTGCCCAGTTGAAATCCAGAACAAGTGATTTAGGTAAATGACAGTTCTAATATTCAGCATAAATATAAATATATACTTCATTACTTAAACAAATATTACCACTCAGTTATTCCACAAACAATTGTTCAATTATTCAAATCAACAGCAACAAATAAATGTTATTCTATCCCTCCTCCTGGATAGATCAGATTCGTTCGAAAGATAATATTTGGTTGCTTTATAACACAGAGTGTTTCATTTTCTGGAAGAGTGCTTCAATTCAAAATCAATCAAAATGCACAATTCTAGTCAAGGCAAGCAACCCAATCAAAAGAGGAACGAAATCAATATGGCTGTCTCCATGACTAAGTATCAGCTTAAACAACATAATAAATTCAGTTCAGAAAGAAACATAGAAACTCAGTAAAGGTAGAAGAAATAGAAACTATAATAAAATACAAATATTATCATCTCAAAAATGGAATCGAACAGACTAACAAAAATGTACAACTGAAGGAATCTCAATAAGGACAAATTACAAATGTATACATGGAGGGATTTTCACAAACAAAGCCTTCAAAAAAATGGATCTTACATCGGTCAGATGAAAACGAAACAATTCTTCGAGTATTATTTTCATTCATCAAACTTGAAGAAAATAGTTTCTAAAAATAAAACTATTCAATGCATCTATTCATTCGTGACAGAGAGATAGAAAAATGTTACATTCTTGAATTTACTAAGAATAAGAAGTATTGTAAGGTGTTTAGGTTTGTGGAGATTGTGGAATTTCAGTTTAAATCATGAATTGATCGCATATGTGAGACTGCCATTATCATGTGGCCATCAAGCGGGTAGTTTTGGTGAAGGAATACTGTTAGTTCTAATAAGAATTCGTGATCAATGAAGTAAATCCATGTTGAGTGGACGACAGTCATTACCCAATGGATTGATTCAAATTAGGCATGAACACTGTTTTATGTCAGCTCACAGTGATTTACATGTTGGAGTTGGGGAAGGATAGTTCACTCAGACTACTAAAAGTCATGCTTTCGTTGATTTGCAAAATATCAATCCATCATATCGAACTGGACTGTTCCTGTTGCAAAACATCAATCCATTGTCACTATTCATGCGTTTCATACAAATTCCATTGTGTTCCCACTCCTCCTTTCTTGATCTTCCCCCATCTTCTGCTGCCAGACAATACTTTGACACTCACGTCATATACTACTTATAAGTAGCTAGCACCACAGTATTACTATTGGTATATATACGAACATTTTTATCTCATCAATTCGCTAATGTGTCTACCGGTCTGCTTGTGGTCTACCATCCCTTTTTGTGGTATGCCACAATAAACGTATTCAATACTTCGAATTCATCTTCTGATTTATAAAAACCGTCAGGCGCTATTTGGTAACGATTGTCTGAACGAGCTAATTACGAAACTTAAGAACACCAGGGAAATCGGCACACTACACTATCATCATGTGGTCGACTGAAAGTCATGCTTTCGACTGTGGCTTGAGATATCGGGGATGCACAAATCTATACTTGGACCAAACAGCTATCGAATTCTCATCTAACATGGATCGATACACGTATCGATCGAATAATGCTTTCCAACTTATCATCTCATTACATCTAGTCACCAAAAATTTTCTGCGATTTTCAATCGATCAACATACCAATAGCATACCGATCAATAATTAGTTATTACTAATTACTGTTATCATGTCAAATTGGTTCTTACACACACACACACACTCTCACGCACACACGCACACATATTTGTTCTCAAATCTTCACTGCATTAAACACTAACTATCATTTTTTGTCTCGACGTCTGCTGCTGCTGCTGTTGATTCTTTCTATCAATCATCCATGCAACTGTGGATAAAATAAGTAACTACTTACTGATCGATAATAAACCATTAGAGCTTATCATTCTTCAATAGTGTTTGTTGCACACACACACACATTCTCAAATTAGGTGTAGGTGTTGATGTTTGGTGTCAGTCGTTTATTATTATATTTTGGTTGAGTTTGCCTGTTCAATGTGTTCAATTTTTCAATTATTCTAACGAAATTTCATTGTAAAGCAATATAGTCAGCATTATTGTTCAGTGTTGTCAATGCCATTGTTTAAAATTATCATTCAAACAGTCAGCGCTACAAATAATAAACATGAGAATATATTTCGTTGGTCAGTGAATAGTCCAATTGATGATTTAACTTATGATCAATTGAGTGCGAAAATACAAAATATTTTGTTTAAATTAAATAATCCGAATGATAATAATCATGATTATTATAACAATAATAATAATGGTGTAAAAGAAAATTTTCAAATTATATGGGATGGTAAGTTGGGTTTTTGTCATTCTTTGTTTTAAATGAATTTCAAATGACCCGCAATTTAAAGATTGTTGTTTTTTTACGCTTAGTTTTCGTCAATATTCAATATGATTTTTATATATATTTAGACTGAAGTGTGGTTGCTCAAAAGAAAGGTTAAGTGTTTAGGCACATAAACCCGAAGGTCATCGGTTTAAAATCCTACGAGTAGTAAGTAGGCAATATGGATGCGCATTGCCACAGATGAGTCCCATACTAGGAAGGGCTTCTAGGGTTTTTGGATGATGGTCTAAAGATGATTTAATCACGATTACAATGCGTGTATATGAATTCGTCGAACCTGAGTTTCTAATCTGTGCTATACTCAATCGACATCATCATTTTTCTCAACTCGTTCGTATACATGTCTTATTATAATTACTAATGTGGTGCGGGCTACTTATAAGTAGTATATGACGTGAGTGTCAATGTAATGTCTGGCAGCAGAAGATGGGGGAAGATCAAGAAAGGAAGAGTTAGAAAACAATGGAATTTGTATGAAACGCATGAATAGTGAGTGACAATCGATTGATGTTTTGCAACAAGAACAATCCAGTTCGATATGATGGATTGATATTTTGCAAACTAACGATTTATGATATGGTTTTCCCTATTTTACTGAGTAACTCTGTAATTTTCGTTAAATACAATTCGGCTGCCCTGACCTGTGTTCTTGTTCACTACACCACTACTTATTTCAAACTACTATTATCTTATTTCATTTAAGAAATCATCCTTTACCAAACATGTAACATTGATTACAATTCACTATGTCGTCGAATAAATTCTTCTACTATTATCTTGACAAATGACTTTAACAAGAAATCTTGGTACAGTAGGATGAACTCTAGAAAAACGAACCGCGTAGTGTTTTAGATCGGTTAGATGTTCAGTGGACAGAATTCCTAACAGATAATTGCTCAAAGAAGTGACTAGAAGAAGGAGAATAATGTTTACCAGCTTAGATATACCATAGAGAAAGTTCTTTCAATTGCCTTCCATAGTACATAAAGAGTTTTTGCTTATGTTCAAATCGCGAATTCATAATTATATTTCCGTACTGATTTCTCCAACTTTATTTTATGTTTGTCTGTACGAAATGTCTTAAGGAGCTGCCTTTTTTAGTTAATATTTTTTCTGGGAAATTCGATTCTTTGTTAAACTCATCAGTAAAATTGATCTACATCTCAAAGTTGATGTTGAATTCTACACAGAATCCAAACTGAGGTTTGGACTGAGGAAGAACAACTGTCTAGGTAGGTTAGGTTGCTCAGTTGAAATCCAAAACAAGTGATTTAGGTAAATGACGGTTCTAATATTCAGCATAAATATAAATATATATATATATATATATATATATATATATATATATATATATATACAAATATTACCACTTAGTTATCCCACCAACATTTGTTCATTTATTCAAATCAGCAGCAACAAATAAGTGATATTCTATCCCTTCTGGATAGATCAGATTAGGTTGCATTATAACACTGAGTGTTTCGTATTCTCGAAGAGTGTTTCAATTCACAATCAATCAAAATGCACAATTGCAGTCAAACCAAGCAACTCAATCAAAGGAGGCACAAATCAATATGGCTGTCGCCATGACTAAGTATCAGCTTAACACAACATAATAAATGCAGTTCAGAAAGAAACATAGAAACTCAGTAAAGGCACAAAAGAAATAGAAACTATAATGATAAAATACAAATATTATCATCTCCGAACTGGCTAACAAAATATACACCTGAAGGAATCTCAATAAGAACAAATTACAAATGAATATAAAGAGGGATTTTCACCAACAAAGCCTTTAAAAATGGATCTTAAATTCAAGATTCACTAGCAATGTATTTACTATATATATTTATGACATTCAAAATACAGATCTATAGAAAGTTTTTGTATTTTATTTGTACAACATAAAAACACTTGTCATACTGTGCTGTTTATCTGGTTCATTATGTAAAAATTGAAGTCAGCGTACAAAAGTCTATTCAATGAACACCAGATCTGAGTTCCTAATCGTTTTTAAATAACTCCCAACTAAATCTACACTGTAATTTGAACACAAGATGTAATACACACAAGTACAAAATGAGAGTTTTACTCCAAGATTAGTTTATGTACAGACAAATGATGGTATTCGTTGAGTTATGCATGAGCTTAGGTTAGTTGAAGGTTCTAGAGCCATACTACTTAGAGTAGTGATATGGTTGAATATGATTGATTCAGAATCGAACGCCGAATCTCTGGACCACTAAGGCTGGCATCCAAAGTTGTTAATGTCTATCCCTGATCAATCTAGATATTTTGCACAGCCTCACCTAATTGTCTTTGGTAGTTACTGACTTCGTCCGAACGCGATGAACTCCACTGGTCACAGGGAGTGAAGTAGTCGAGCTTGTTGACTGCTTCACTTATCTGGTGAGTCTCATCAGTGAGGACGGGCTGGTGACTGACGAAATCTCAGTACGGATACAGGAGGATCGATTGGCTTTTACCAACGTGCGTCACTTATGGCGTAGGCGCGATATCCGTTTGCTGACTAAAGGACGAGTGTACTGTGCAGTAGTTCGCTCCGTCTTACTTTATGGCTGTGAAACATGGCCAGTGAGAGTAGAAGATATTCGAAGGTTACTGGTTTTTGATCATAGGTGTCTTCGAAGCATCGCTGGTATATCATGGGATACCCGAGTGAGCAACGCTGTTATTAGGAATCGGGTGGTAGGTAAGAATGGCAGATCAATAGATGAAGTAATGAAACTTCATCAGTTGAGGTGGTTAGGAAATGTGTTACGTATGCCTAACCACCGACTGCCTCGACGAGCTATGTTTTGTGGTGTAAGAGTGGGTTGGAAGAAAGCTAAGGGCGGCCAGGAGAAAACATGGCAGAAATCCATAAAGTCATTGACAAGTGCACTGAGCCATGTCGGTAGTTGTCGACTACCTGGTTGGGGTCCACGAGATGATAATAAACGATGGTTGGATACCCTGAATGACATGGCTCAAAATCGTTCGCAATGGCGCCGTTGCATTTATTCTTTGTGTTCTCTGAAATCCTAATCTTCTGGATTCTTCAACACCTGTAGTTTTAACTTTTTAAACTTTTCTCATTGAATCATGCTTCTTGAATAATATCTTCTAATCCTAACCTCTCCGATTATTTCAAATACTTTTACTACCTCTTCTACTATTGGATTTGAACTGACAATTATATCACTGTGCTGATGTGGTATGGCAACATGAACTGATGTACTTACGTACAAAGTTCTACGTTGCATCTTCTCACTGGAACTCCAAGAATTTCCTCTCACAAAGCTAGTCACTAGTGAGCACATTGTACGACATATTTTTTGTAGTTGAAGTTATGGAGATTAGTGTTTTTTTTGCACACTGAGTCCCATCCCAGGACGTAACGGCCGTTTTTCAAAGTTTCCACGGTTTGACTGATTGATGATTTTCAAGGTGTAAAAAATCAATAATCTCCAAAACTGTAATTGAAAATCGAAATTTTTGGTTTTTTTCCATTAATTTTAGATGGTGAAGATATGTGTCGAATAATTTGTACAGAAGATCTTCATGAAGCTGTACAAACTTTATCATCCTCGTCATCATCAGCGGCGGCAGCATTAACAGCAACAGGAGCCGGAGGATTAGATGGTAATCAACAAAGTATAAGACTTTATGTGAAAACTACACCAGAATGTGAATCAATCAAGCTACACAGCAGCACAGACGATGATCATCATCATCATCATCATTCAATATTAAACGAATCGAAAACTGACTATTTACGTTTGCCAGATTTACCGGAAACATTAGAAAAGTTGGATTCTGACGATTCCCCGAAATCCACCAATGATAATGACACGGAAAAAATTCAACGCAAACAACAACAACACCAGTCATCGGACAAAGTACCCTTGTATAAATCATTATCCATTGATCAACAATGTACTTTTGATTTGACAAATGATTTGAATTTCATTTCAACTAGTAGTACCAGTAGTAGCGGTAGTAGAAGTCGAATTGCACCAAGTGCCCCATTACTTTATCCAACATCAATGGATGAATTACTCACTACATTACAAGTACCAACATCTTATAATGCTAAATGGAAAGGTGTTAATTTCCCAACACAATCATTACATGCTTACGCAGCTGCATACACTACATATCCATATGGATATGTACAGAATAAGGGGAATTTCAGTAAATTGCCCTCTGCTCCACCTGCATCAGCCGCTGGAGCATTTGGTCAACCGATTGCATTCTATGAACAGAAATTTGTACCAACTAGTTATCGTCAAGCATTAAATCGTAACACTCGTCTAACTGCATCATGTCATAATTTGCCAAGAGCAACAACTTATCTCAATGATAATAATAGTAATAATCAACGTCAAGTTGTGAATGTTTCCGCTGTGATTATTCTATTACGTCATATGGGATTTAAACAAAGTGACTTTCATTTAGCCAATATTATTCATCGATATAATGGTAATTTAAATTCAATATTAGATAGATTGTCCATTGAAACCAATAAGAAAACTTGATGAGATTTATTCGATTCAAAAAATGGTTGGGGTTTCTTTTTTGTTTGTTTCAAGAGTTACAAAAAGTTTTCTCTGTGGATGCTTTCATCTTTTATTTATTGGTTCTGTCTTAACTATTTTTGATTAGTTTGTTATTGAAATAAACAAAAAATGAAAAAACCGGGGTGTTTATTTATTGATTAAAACACTCAGTCAGTCAGTCAGTCATTTACAGCGTAGAACTTCGTGTCAAACTACATAAGTTACACATTTTTTTGAAACAAACCATGAATCGATCAATGTTCGATCACCATTAGAAGAAACCTGGAAGCACTGACAGATGGCCGTTTCGTCCTTGTATGAGATTCATCAGTGGCAGTGCGCATCCACGACTCCTGCGCCCTGCAGGATTCGAACCCAGGACTATCGGTATTGTGCACGAACGCCTAACCAACGGACCACTGAGACGGTGTCGAACAGTGTTAATGTTTAACTTGATCTATTCCCGTAATGCAAACTACATAAGCACACAGAAAGGTAACTATCAGTCAGAGATAGTAGAAGCATTATCAGTAAACGAGAAGATTAGGGGGTTCGAAGAAATTATTCAAGAAGGTATAATTTAGTTAAATAAATTTTTGAAAGAGAAAGATGAAGGTGAAAGGGAGTTCAGGAGATTAGCATTTGGAAGAACACCTGTAGCATTGTAGACGATTTTAAGCCATGTCGCTCAAGGTCTCTAACCATAGATGAATTTTGTCTAACGTATCCCAACCACGTAGTCTACATGTACCAACATGACTCAGTTTACTTGTCAGTGAATTTAACGATTCGTGGCATGTCTTGGTTTGACCGTCATTAGCTACTTTCCAGTCTACTCCTACACTACAAAAACATAGCACGTCAAAAAGGCAGTCAACGGTTAGGCATACGTAATACATGTTCCAATCACCTCAACTGTTTCTCAGTCTTAGAAAAGTGTCAAGTCTAATTAACATAGAGGAGAAATGGACGGTGGGATTAAACTTTTTTTATATGAAACTATTACTCAACAAAATGTATAGCACAGCAGAGAATAAACTATCTTTCACATCGGGAAGAAGTTATGTACGAAGTGATGAGGGTGGGGGAAATCATCAGACAAGCCCTAATTTAGGATCTTTAGTGTAAACGGTAGACACATTGTGACAGGCTTGAGATCAGTGTTAGGCCGTCGAAGGGTTCCAGCCAGGGTATATATATTTATATAAGCACCTTATGTGGATTTCCTTCACATGGTTAGTCGGTTAAATGTTAGTTTCAAAAAATAAGTTATGTCCTGGTATGAGACTCATCGGTGGCAGTGCCCATCCACGACTGCTGCACCTCGCGGGATTCGAAACCCGGGACATTCGGTATTGTGCGCGAACGCCTAAACATCGGAACATTTGCCCGGCATCCAGCGATGGTTAGGTATTTGTGCGCAATGCAGAAGATCCCGGGTTCGAATCATGCGAGGTGCAGGAGTCCCATACCAGGACGAAACGGCCGTCCGTCAGTGCTTCCAGGTTTCTTCGAATGATGGTCTAACAATGATTGATCGATGATTTTAAATGTTCAAAAACACAAACCTCCATAACTTTGCCTGGAAACTAAAGTTTTATCAATAGTAGGTAGGTCAAATTTGGATGAATAGACTTCAAATAATCATTAAAAAAATCAAAGCCATTACGTAATAAGCAAATGTGTAGTTAGTGGTTATATTGTAGATAAATCTGAATCATTTCGAGTGATCTATCGTATACCTCCATCATTTGGCAACGGAGTTCGATCCCGTCTCTTATATATATAGCAGAAGCCATAGGAATTCGTACATTCAACCCCGATTTATGTGTTCTGGAGAAATTCGTGACACCTCCATCTCTTCCGTGGCCAGATATAACTTAAGCAACATTTCCGTTTATATTCTTCTTCACTATCTAGTTATGTACACATTTGCTTATTACGTAATGGTTTTGATGTTTTTTAATGATTGTTTGAAGTATATTCATCCTACTATTGATAAAACTTTAGTTATCATATTTTATAATTTTCTTACTACTATCACAGTACACCTGTCTCCCTACTATCAACTTTTGTACTTTTGCCTATTATGTGCGGAGTGACGTAATCTCTATTTCATTTCATTGTGATTATTGACTCAAATTACCTTGATTGGTTTAACATTTTCATACATAAATATTCATGTATATTAGAGTAAAGCCTGATGACGATCTAATCGCTTATATGTGTTGTTCTAATATAATTATTAGTAAAAGTTCGAATCATTTCATTGTCGAGGATTGAATTTTAATCAGTCTTGGTTATTGAGACATTCCAATGAAAGAATAATCCATGTATCTTGAACTCTACTGTTGATTGCAATCGCCTCAGAGGGGACATCATTCTTCAACATAATATTGATTTCTTGTCAATGTAAGTTATTAGCGATATTTTCCTCACTGGATGGGTGGTTTTGTTCTGGTATCTGTCTCATCAGCAATGCACATCCATGACTCCCTAAACTGGCAAGATACGAATCGCGCGCGAAAGACTGTACCTCTGTGACCACTGAGATGACATCTAACAGTGTTAATTTTTAACTCTGATCAATCTAAGAATTTCACACGACCTCACCCATTTGTATTCGGTAGTCATTGTCTACCATCGATAAGGGTTGAACTCCACTAGTCACTGCCCATACTACGTAAAAAAAGCGGCTGTACAACTAACTCACTTACTTACGCCTGTTACTCCCAATGGAGCATAGGCCGCACACCAGTTTTCTCCAACCAACTCTGTCTTGGGCTCCCCATTCCAGTTCTGTCCAATGTTTGTTCATTCCTCTCATATCTTTCTCTATTTCTCAGCGTAATGTGTTCCTTCACCTTCCTCTTTTTCTTTTGCCTTGAGGGTTCCAAGTGTGAGGGCTTGTCTTGCGACACAGTTAGGTGCTTTTCGTAGTGTGTGTCCTATCCACCAACTCCACCACGTCTTCCTGATTTCCTCCTCCACTGGAATCTGGTTTGTTCTCTCCCACAGTATGTTGGTGCTAATGGTGTCTGGCCAACGAGACAACTGTTAGTAAACACTTGTATCTTCTGGATGAAGATGGCTTTGGTAGTTCTCCAAGTTTCCACTCTATAAAAAAGTAGAACTGTCTTGACTTTTGTATTGAAAATCCTGATTTCGCTGTTGATTGATAGTTGTTTGGAGTTCCAGATATATTTTCCAACTGTATAAATGCAGCCCTTGCTTTGCCAATCCACCGCGCCCCCGCACATCTGCATCAAATCCATCTTGGTTTTGTCAACTGTACAAACAAATAATCTGGCCTAATTATTCTAAATCATGAAAACTCATAACGAATATCACACGAATTCATTATAAATTTTTCATATAATAGAAGTTGAAATATTTGTGTTCATGCACATTTACGTATGTGTTTTTAAAAGTAAAACACAATCTATTTCTTTCAAATCATATGATCAATGATAATTGACAATTGAACAATGATGATGATGATGACTGTTGTTTTTTTATTTCAAAAGAATAAAACTGATATTTTGAATGAAAAAAAATTAATCTGAGTCGATGCATTAAACAATTAAAAATTACAGACAATTTTATGCAAACTGACTGATTCATTAGTTCATTGATTAAGAGATTGTTGAATTGGTCTGTTTTTAAAAAGAAAATGTAGCAATGAACTAGTGTGGTGCACGCTACTTATAAGTAGTATATGACGCGAGTGTAAACGTAATGTCTGGCAGCAGAAGATGGGGGAAGTTCAAGAAAGGAAGAAGAGTGGGAACACAATGGAATTTGTATGAAACGCATGAATAGTGAGTGAAATGTCAGACAATGGATTGATGATGGATTGAAGCTTTGCAAATTAACAGTTACGATATGGTTTTCCGGTTGCCCTCACCTGTGTTCTTCTTCACTACATTTGGTGTCGCTGCCAGGATGAAGGAAGGAGCTCCCGTGGCCAAGGGAGTTTGAGGCCGTGGTGGGGCTGGTGGGTGTGAAGGGGCCCGGGGCGGAGTTGCTGGTGCTGAGGACGCCGCGGGGAGGTGAGGCGAAGGCGGTATACGACAGCTTGGACGGTGCCACCGGTGAGAAGGCATGGGAGACGGTCACGAAGCGAATAGTGGCGGAGTCCGTCGGCCCAGTTGACAGGGAGGAGTCGCCGCAGAGGTTCCGGTTGGCGAGGTTGTCGGTCGATTGTGACCCAGTGGTACTGGCTGTGGAGCTCGCGATGTTGCTGCGCCGTACGCCGCTGAGTATGGATGGGGAGTCGGGGGCACAGCTGTTGGTGTCGCAATTTATCGAGAGTGTGCCTGCCACTGTGTCCCAGCAGCGGGAACTAGTAAATGCTACACGTTGGATAGATGGCGTACCCATTCCAGACCAGCGGGCAAGAACAATGACCGAAGTGGTTATCCGGCATATTGTAGCGTGTCATGGAACACGGAAGGTGATATTAACTGACCAGGGTACCTGTTTTGAAAGTGACTAGTTTAATGCCCGTTTAAAGCAGTTTGGCATCAAGAGGATACGAACTACACCGTATCATCCGCAGATAAACGGGCTTACAGAGAGAAACAGCCGGACGTTAAAGGAATCTAAATGAGGAGATTGGGAGAAAGAGTTACCAATGATTTTGCTGATCCCAAAGTGTGAAGGACCGTACGTTATCACGGAGAGACGCAGCGCGGTTTACACGATCCGGAGAGAAGACAAACAGAAGCACGTAAATGCTAGTCAACTCCAGAGATGGTTTCAAGATGTATGAGTCACGAAAAGCACCAAAGATGACAACGGTACGGCAATCAGAAAGACTACGACGACAGCTTATTAAAAGGGGGGACGAGTGTGGTGTGAGCTACTTATAAGTAGTATATGACGCGAGTGTAAACGTAATGCCTGGCAGCAGAAGATGGGGGAAGATCAAGAAAGGAAGAAGAGTGGGAACACAATGGAATTTGTATGAAACGCATGAACAGTGAGTGAAATGTCAGACAATGGATTGATGTTGGATTGAAGATTTGCAAATTAACAACGATTTTTTCTTATTTTACTGAGTAACTCTGTAATTTTGCGATAAATACAATTCGGTTGCCCTCACCTGTGTTCTCCTTCACTATACTAGTTTTGTA